AGATAACACGAGAATGGTCAAGAATAAATGCAAGCATTCAAAGGAACGACTTTATCATATATAGTAATTTTTTTTTCGCTTCGTTTTCAAAAAGGATGCGATATTCACCGACGTTGAATGCGTGCAGAACGTAAGTGTTTTGAACGACGATGTCCCGTTGGTTTGTTAAAAGACTTTGATAACTGGCATGGAATAATGGCGATTGGGAGAACAAACGAAAGAGTAAAGAATTAATACTGTATGAAAACATTTCAATAAAGAATAAATGCAACAATTCAGAAGCAATGCCATTATACTGCAGACGTTGTTTAAATGATTTTGCTGTCGTTGCAATGAATAATGAAATCATGGTAGACATTAAACTTAACTTGATCTCATTATTCGTGAATATAGAACGGAATGGTCTAATCAGCAAAAACCGCTTGTGTGAGTGAGTGAACTCTGCTCATCTGCAAATCGTACGTGCCACAGTTTTGATACAGACAGACATTGTTTAAAAGACACTGAGCATCATAACTGTGGTCTGCTTAATAAATATATATATACACAAAGAAATAATCACGCATAGAATCAAGCAGCAATATTAATGCTATTATTGGCGATATCACATCGCTAGTACAATACAATGTATGCATTAAAATACTGTTAATCCATAGAATGATGTGATCCTCATTTATTAAACTGTTGTCAGTTGTTTCCAGTTTATATTTTTTAAAATGCAAGTACTTTCGAATAATCCTTTATTCATCGTCAGGCACATTTTTTCCTTTTAAAATTAAAACTTGGAGACGAAATAATTGTTTGTCGACCGAAAGATGTTTTTTTTTTTGAGAATGTGCTATTATTGACGGTTGTGTACAATCTCGGAACGTGCAATGACGCAACGCTAAGTTTTTCAACATTTTAAGTGAGAATTTTTTATTTGAACTTTTTTTGTGATGTGGTAAATCCACGTATTCTATTTTTACAAGTGTTTTCAGTTAATATGTCATGAACTAAGTATATAGTTCAATTAATATAGTGTTATGTCTTAGTAGTATATATGAAGAAATATACTCTAAAGTTGTGCTATATTTATGGGATAAAGTGCTCAATATCAGAGATAGAGCGTGTGTGAATATAAAAGTGAACATTGAAGTCAATACTTAGAGGCGACAGGGTGTTTCATGCTAGACACAATCGTCAGGCGTATATAAACAAAAAAAAATCTCATTCAGCTCACGATATGACTAAGTGTGTTCAATGCAATCGACATTGGCTTCAACCCCAGCCTCCAGACGACTTCGGAATCTGCTGCAACTCTTCTGGACGGTCTCCTTGTTTAAGTTCTAAATACAGCCATAACCCTTGTCTTCAGTTCACCTTTGGTGTTACAAGGAGTTTTGTTGGTCTTTCGCTCAATTGCGCCACACACACTATAATCAAGGGGTTTGCAGTCTGAGGAGTTAGGTGGTCAGATATAAGGCGTGATGTGGCCGTAGAAATTGTCTGACAGCTATGACTGGGTTCTCCTGTTTGTGTGGCATAGTGAAGAATCCTGTTGCCAGACATAGTGTCTATCAGCAGCCTACACCTCTTGACTCAGGAGAGCACTGCCTTCTCAAAGCACTTGCTGTAGGCCTCTGCGTTGAAGCGGAGGCCATGTCGGAAGAGGCATAACATCGCTATTATTAGTGAACCCTCCAAATACTTTCGTAATCACCATTAGACTCATTCAACTCTTTCCGAATCCTCTTTTCTATCCTCAGATTGATACTCAAAGACTCTGAAATGTTCGTATTGGAGATTCCGGTGCGAATGCCAAGTAGTAGATCATTACGTTTCCAAATTTCTGGCGGAGTGCATTGTGCAATCGTGTTTTTTTTTCTCACAGACGGTGATCAGTTTGCTCTACTATATTATGCAGTCGATAAAATCAAAAACGAAAAGCGCGCATGCGCCAAATTAAAACTATAATTAACAATTTACCGATCGCACCCTGTATGGTATATATGTTGAAAGAGAGAGAGAGAGAGACAGAGAGACAGAGACAGGGAGAGAGAGAGAGAGAGAGTTAACAGGCAGTCAGGTTAAATAGAT